TCGGATTAACTTTTTTACTCTGGCTGAAGCACATGCCCTGCTGAAAGGATTGCAAAATTCCGATGGCACTTGGGGCTCCTATTTGGTGGTCGAAGGAGATTTATCTCGTGGACCTCCGGTTTATCTCCTTGCCCTTGGCGTCTAGATGACATCTTTGATGATATTTCACACCTGTCGTGGGGTATTTCACGCCATGTATTTCGAGAAGCCAACTCGGAAGAAGACGTTTTTAGCCAAGGAGCGAGCCCAATCTAACAACCTAGGGCTGCCTTAGCCATTTGTCATTTTTGTGGAACCTTTACCCTCTTTTATTCCTATTTGAATCCTTCAGGGATGTATCCAGTACCGCCTGGGAGGACACACTTGACTGTATAGCTCGATACCATTAGGACAATTATTTTTAACTCTTCTAAAAAAAAGAAAGGGCCCTTAATTTGTAAATATTTGGAAACACAATTTTCCTTAACAACAATATATTTCGTGCGATTCATTCTCTTGTATAATTTCATGTTCATGCTCGGCTTGCCTGGGAAAACGTACTAGCTTGGGCTTTGCTTGAGCTTAACTCTAGTAGAACCTCCCTCCCAGATTAACTTGCTTGGCCAAAATAAGCTAAGTTAATCTAAGAACTAGTCCACAAGCATGCCAAGCTATCAATAAGTCAAGCAAACATAAGTCAACGTACTTTGCTATCAAATTATTTTCTCTACCAAAAAGTGTAAATGTACAATCATATCATGTGCGTCGTGAACAAATTATAATACCATAAATCACTTACATAAATGGTAAAAGAAAAACAACTTTCATGTACTGAAAGAATCCATAGTACAAAAAACCAACCAGGAACTCCCGAGTCTTCATCCCTTGACACGAGCCTTATACCTTTTTCAAGCTATAGGCTCAGTCATGGGTTGATCGTGGGATAACAATATCATCAATGTTACCTTACACATAATTATACCCAGTATCTTCTTGTTATGTCTTGATGCTTGAGATCTTTGCGAAAGTTTTTGCCACCGTGTTGTTACCAAAACACATTCATAGTCTCTCCAGCACTCACCATGATCCCTAGCTTTGCAGGTACCTCGTGAGCCATACACTCTCCTACAATGCTACACATCAATCCATGTACTTTGTATATATATTGGACATACCAACTATGTCATCTGACTTGTTGCACTAAAAAATTGCTCTCATTCTCAAAGTGGAGACGTTTCCTGATGTTAACGCTCAATAGTCCATATCACTATTCTAACTAGACTTACTTTATCCGCGTGGTGGCGATCATTTCTAAAAAAGATCTATGAGTAGTTCCGGACTTGGATTGTTCTAGTAGCGACTCGACGAGCCATGTAGAACATCTTGTCATGAACACAACATAGCATCCATAAGATTGCCTATTATGTTCACATGTGGTACGCAAAATTATCTTTTTTATCAATCTCCATCTATGGACAAAGATATAGACTAAGGACACGTTTGACGGGAGTATCAAGTGGCCCAACATCATGCATTCTAAATCTTTTTAAGTTTTTCTTGATGTAAGTTAATTAAGACAAACTTAAGGAGTATCTCATAATGATTCTGCTTGATCAGGACATCTACACATGATGCACTTGCCAATGTCTTTCACATCGAAATTGGAGAACAACCACTCTTTAGTTGGATTAATATTTCCTTGTCATTTTTTACCATTAGGATCTCGTCCACTCATACTAAGGAGATCATAGAACTCACCCGGTTCTCGATGACACATCCTTTTTGGTACACAATAAATGGTAGCCAGAAAGTAAATTAGGAACCCCTATTATGTTCATATGTGGTACACAAATTGATGGCCAGAAAGTAGGAACCCCTTTTAGATAACCATATTTTGATTATTCGGTGCTAATAATTTGCTTGTTTGGTAACGTGAAAATCTCTCTCTCTCTGTCATACTCATGGTCTCTTTGGTGGTTTTCCTTAGATGGGTCCTTTTTTTTTTCTTTTTTAACCCATTGAAATCTCTCTCTCTCATGCTCATAGTCTCTTTGGTGGTTTTCCTTAGATGGGTCTTTTCTTTTGTAGAACCCATGAAGTATATCTCTCATATTCAATCTCTTTGGTGGTTTCCCATGCATGGGTCTTTCCTTTTCTAGAACCCATTTTTCAGCTCAAATTCACTTGTCCAATATTTATCTCAAATCCTAGCATCAAGAATTACAACTGATTTTGTAAACCCTAAAACCTATAAACCCTAACCCTTAAATATGTAAATGTGTAAAAAATAATAATAGTAATAATATCTAAAAGAGAGAGGATGGGGTTTATAGAGAAAGATGGGGTATACCCCTAGATAATTTCATAGAAACCTGCAGCCACGAGGACCATGTGATGTGGGTTTTATTGATTTAGGGAAAGTCAGGCATCTAACTTTCCTCTATTATTGAACTTTGCCCCAAATCAAACAAAGGAAGCCTACAATTACCCAGGAAATCAAATTGCCTTGGCAATTTCGCAGCATAAAACTTAAAGAAAATTTCTCCTTACCCCCCACTTTTGTCCCAAAGATTATAAATATTTTTAACGGCATAAGGTCTTGATATTTTCTATCCTCTAATCCCGGATTTTTTTGACCATATACTATTGATTTAAACAATAAAAGAAATGACACCCTTTTAACCGATATTTTTTTCTCCATTAAGTTTTTCATCTCTCTCTCAAAACTACCTCTTTTTCTCTCCAAATCCCAACTCTACGTAAAAATATGTCTCTTTCCTTCTAAACCCCATCTCTACACAGAGAATAAAAATGACAGATGATTTTCAACACTAACAAGGCAGAAACTCCGGGAGGACTAAGAAACTCAGCTGCATATTGTGTTTCTTCTTAAATATCTAATACTTTTGTTAGAGAAACGAATAAGCGATGGGAATTTCACTGGAACGGACAAGCTTTCTAATTTTCCAGTTAATGTTGAAGATTAGACCTATTAAATGGACTCAATAACAATCTGCAAATGGCCAAAGCTTAGATTGAATCCTTACTGAATGAACATAAATTTTGCAGAAAGAAAACCTTGGAAAATCAGCAAAATTTTTTTTATTGTTAACTCCCCAATGGCTTGAGAGAAAAATGAAAAGAAGGCTTTCGAGGGAGAAAGAAGATAATGAAGGAGAGGGATTTCACAATTGAGTCCCAAGAGGAAGGTTCTCTCTTTTTTGGACTTTTGTGATGCCCTTCTCGGTGGAAAGATGCATGATAGGAAAAATTAGAGAGAGAGAGAGAGAGAGACAGACGGTGTTTTGAGAAAGAGAGAGAGATGGTGTTTTGAAAGAGAGAGGGAAGGTTAAGATAGAAGAAAATGGTTAGTTAAAAGGACGTCATTTTCTCGTTGTTTGGGTTAATAGTACATGGTCAAAAGGGTGGTCTAAGGGGGATGGATGATAGAAAAAATAGAGACCTTATTAAGCAAGAAATATTTTGAATCCTAAGGTCTCTTGAGAAATGGGTGCTAAAAATTAGGGGTATAGAGAAATTTTTCCTAAAACATATATTTCCCTTTATCCAACCGTCCATTCTGAATGGACAGTTGAGATGGCCCCAATCATAATATCACATCTCTACACTATTTTATTTTTAATTTTTGTTTTACAAACTATTTTGATATTAAATTTTGGGCGTTCACTCCTCTCTTAAAGTCGCACCAGTAAAGAATATCAAAAAATATTCTCAATAAAATAAATGACCAAAATAGCCCTAAAAGTTTCAAGGGGTAGTTTGGTCATTATATTTTATTGAAAAATTCTTTTTAATTTTATTTTTACGTGTGGTACGTGCGAAATTTCATATTCATATAATTTGTAAAAAAAAAAAAAAATACTACTCTAAGGCATCGAATTTGAAACTAAAAATAACATACACTGAGGTATCGAATTTAAATCAAACTGTCAGTTGCTCACTTGATCTAAATTAGACAGGTGAATAGGGGAAGAACATATATCTTCTATATAGTAAAAGAAGTATAGAAACCTTTCTCATTAGAAATTGCACCTCCACTTATTTCTAAGTTGCTATCAATAGCCTTCTTAAAAGTAGAACAAAAGAAATAGTTGAAACTTTAAATAATAAATCCATGTTTCTTTAGAAAAAGACTTAAGGTTGTTTTTGACGAAGTAAATACTTAAATTTTCATTTGGTACACCGACCAAAAGACAATGTCAAGGAGATTTGTTTGATTCGAGGACCCTCAAATCCTCTTTATTCATCCCCAATATGACTTTTCTTAAAAGATATGATTCCACATTCAATAAATGCTCTAAATCAATTCATGCTCCAAAATCGGCTTGCGATTATCAATTCAATGGATAACCTTATCTAGGATTGATTAGGAAACCCTCAGATTTCAAAAGCATAAAATCAATCCATCTGCTTTGATTTTGACTTCTTTAAATTTGATTACGAAGATTTCCAGACCACAAAATCAGTCCATCTGCTTTGATTTTGACTGGGAATCCCTTTTAATGGCTTTGCTTGTCGGATCAGATGAAATGTACAATTTGGTCAGTAGGACCACTATATGCCTCCTAATAAAAGTTTACATCAACGGTCACTTCTCCGATTAGCACTCGCGAGCTTCGAACTCCACCTCTCAACAAACAAATTAAAAAAAGTAAAAAGATAAAAGGCGTTCAGTTTCTATAGGGCCTAGGCTTTATGAAAACAAAATAAAGCCTCAGCTCAAATACTCATCGAAAAGTACTCTTCGCATCGAAAATCTCTAAGATGGCTCTAAATTCAATTTTTAATACCGATTATAAAATTTAAAACTAAAAAAATGGCACAAATCTTGTGGATCTGTGAACACTTATTTTTAAGATAAAATGGACATATAGATGATTTATTGAAATATACAATATTTTGGAATTTGATATCTTAATTTTTTTTACAGTTCAAATTGAGAGGATCGATTTAAAGGTTTTTCGAACACTTGAATTACAATTTTCGATGAGGTAGAAGGTGAAGCTTTACTTATTTTGGCAAAGGTGCAGCCCTACAAGAACTACTACTTAAAAATCATACCTACAAGACCAAGGGAACTTTGTTGTGAAATGAAAATGGCACGAGGAAAGACTTTGCTTAGTGTTGCAGCGGATAAATGAAAAAACTTTCAAAATTTGACGACACCAATGACGTCTATGATTCCTATTCACTACCCCTGCATCGCCACTTTAAATTTCATTGTAGAGACAACCCATCAGCCATGAAATCAATCCTATATGCAGAGACTGTAAGAGATAGATAGAGAGAGGATGAAGCAGCAGCAGAAGCTGGTATTTGGTGTAAATGGAGAGAAGATAGAGCTCTCGAACATCGACCCTGCAACCACTTTGCTCGAATTTCTTCGCACCCGAACCCCATACAAAGGAGCCAAATTAGGATGTGGAGAAGGTATTTTCTTGTTTTAAAAAAAAAGATTGGCATTTTCTTCTTCTTTTTTTTTCTGTGAAATGGTAGTGATTATTCTGAACTTCAAGTTCTTCACATGTTACTGCTTACCCTCCAAATTTTATTGCTCTCTCTCTCTTTCTCTCATGTTACTGGTTACCCTCCAAATTTGTTGTTCTCTCTGAGTGAATAAATTTAGGGTTTTGGGAGTAGGAAATGTTGTCTTTTGTTTTCGTTTTCAGATTCTCACAGGGTGAAATTAAAGGTCCATCTCTGAGATAGATATCTAAAAAATAGTGCCTCCACTAAAAGCTGAGATGGATAGTGGAAAAAATTCAAAAAACACGATGTTTATTTTTCAAAAAGAAAAAAAAAATGCACATTGAGGATGATAGTGGCTTAGATTAGCAAACTCTAAAATATATATTTAAATATGTATATTTAAATATATTTAGTATTAAATAAGAGCAATGATCTTATAGGACCCTCCCCCACTCACCAATAAAAGGTAGTATGGATCTCTAAAAAAGTTATCATATGGGTGTAAGACTTGACTTTTCTATAGATCTGTATCAAATTTAACGGTTCCTTTGAGATCCTACACATATCGGTGAAGGAAAATCCTATAAGATCATTTCTCATTAAATAAATTTAATCCTTTGGGCCTTGACCACCTCATCTGGTGTACGGGCTGGACCATATATTACGTTTGCATGCTAGATTAAATACTATCAAAATGAGATTTATGTTTATAAATCAGGTTTAACCCTCCACATGCCGCGTGAGCAAAGCCATCTGGGCTATATATACCCTGCACATGCCGTATAAACAAAGCCATCTGGCATATATATATATATATATATATATATACATATCATGCTTAGTAGGAGGTGGAAGTAGGGGATTTCTACTAATAGTATTGGTTATTGT